TTCTAGGAAGGAGACATAGGAAACCACCTACCTATATATTAAATGTTAAACAAGAGAAAAGGGAGATGTTGCGTGATTTAATTAGCAGGTTTAATACCGAGATGTTGCAGGTTGTTGAAGTGGGTGACAAGGTGGCTCTTACAGCCTTCATGGGAGGGCTACAACTTTCCAAATTCTTGTTTTCTCTGTCAAAGGATCCACCAGGTACTATGGCAGAACTATTGATTAAGGCACAAAAACATATGAACGCTGAAGATGCCATGAATTCTCAAAAAAATAAGGAAGCCAATGATAAGAAAGGAGACAAAAGGAGGCTGACTGCCAACTCCAAAGATGAGAGAGACGCCAAGTTTAAGAAACATGCTAGCGATAGGCACAGGGGGCATAATAGCTACACCAACTTTACTCTCTTGAACACTCAAATCAGTCAAATCCTCCTACAAATCTAAGATGATTTCACTTTAAAGTGGCCCGCCAAGTTGAAATCAGATCCAACAAGGAAGGCGAGGGATAAGTACTGCATGTTTCATAGAGATTATAGTCATACTACAAACGAGTGCTTCGACCTGAGGAACCAGATAGAAAGCCTAATTTGCCGAGGACAGTTGCGCAGATACATGATTGATCGTGAGAAGAACGTGAAATAAGAGTGATTTTAGGAGGATTTGTTGGTGGCGGAGAATCAAGCTTAGCATGAAAAACCCCATGAGGAATGCTTTCTCTTAATTAGGAACCAACTGGTTAGAAACCCTGCGAAGGAGACAGCTGGATCACCTTTGGAGCGCAGAACACCTTATAAAGTACTAATAGTGAAGTTGAAGTCCAACATTAGCATTACTTTTAGTTTTATGTTGCATAGTGCTAGTTTCGTATCGTTTTTTAGCTTTATTTTTCATATTTAATTGGCTTCACAACTAGATAATAGTTCGAATCTTAATTAAGTACATTTTAGTTACACAAACTTTTGATATGGTGTTTGTCTTTAATTTCAATTTGTTTTAACATTAAAGCGTCATGTACTATAAGAGTCGGGGCTGAATGAATCCTGTAATTCTCGTCTCCATATTATAAGGGATTAATATTAAGTATTCCGTGATATAGGGGTCCGGGCTAAATGATTCCCGTAATTCTAGTCCTAGTGTTATAAGGGATTAACATTAAATACCCTGTACTATAAGGGTCCGGGCTAAATAAATCCGATAATTATCGTCCCCGTATTATAAGGGATTGACATTGAAGTGCTTTGCATTACAAAGGTTTGGGTTGAATGAATCCCGTGATCCTCATCCTTGTATTATAAGGGACGATGCCCCGTATTAAAGTGGTAATAGGCATACCGCCAATCTTATCTTTGAGAGAGAACACCTTGATCATGTGTTACCATCCACCTCTTAAAGAAGTGCACCGCCACATGTCAGTATGCCACCTGTTTGAGGTCCTTCCTGCCTTTTAGGCAGCTTTCCTCTAACCACCTCACATCAAGTTCGACCTCGCATCATGGCAGCGTGCCACCTCGCCACGTGGCATCCTCTCACTTGGGTTGAGGAGTTGCCACGTGGCAGCCTCCACCAGCTCGGCCACGTAGCAGCGTGCCACTTTGGTTGACGAGCCGTCACGTGGCAGCCTCTCGGGTAACCATGTGGCAGCATACCACTTAGGTTGACGAGCTTCCACGTGGCAGCCTCTAACTCAGCCACATGGCAGCGTGTGCTAGGGGGAGGGTTTGAACCCTAGACTCTTAGCATATTAGTAAGAGGTTCTAACCATATGGGCAAGAGGTTCTAACCAGATGGGCCACACGAGCCCATGTGCATTTATTCAGCAAACAAAATATTTATTAACTATTGTACTGGTTGAACTGGTTTAAAAAGTATATCATCACTAAATATTTCTTCATAGTATTTGTTAATTCAGGATGGAGAAGAATTGAAGACATAAATATTTACATTCTCTAAGTTTGACATGCAAACACGAGAATGAGGGGCAATTGATAAGGAATTTTCATCTAGGAAGTTTAACTGTCATACGAAGTTTATAAAGATGGTTAAGTTCCAGCATCTTGGATAAAGATGAGGAGAGGTTCCTCATCTGTGTTGGAAAAGTAAATTGTATAACTCTCCCATTTTAATGCAACTTGATACCTTTATAAACAATATGGTTCAAGTCAACAGAAAAGGTACAACATAAATCCCTAAGAAAATCCTTTCACCTTCTTTCTATCCTCCTGATCTAGCACTGACTTGATCATTGGAGGCTCTTAGGCCGGTATCACATCGGTGCCTTCCCAATCATCCTTCTCTTTCTCTTTCTCTTTCAGGTACGATGTCGTTTTGGGTCACCGCAAAATCTTGCATCAACAAGAACCTTAATTTATATAATTCACTTAAAGTTTTTTATAATTGTATTTTGATTTGGTATTTTTTTTGCTTTTTATATAATTCACTTAAAAATAAAAAAATAATACATTAACTTTTAAAATGAGATTTTTATTTTGGTACACTAAAAAAAGAACAATACTTAGGTCCTTACTAGTGAAGATTTACAACATACTCACGGTAAATGTGGACCAATAATAAATAAACACATTTTATTTTAATTACCAAATCGTAGATGGTAATCAAATCAGTGATAAGTGGGTATCTACTAACCACATTTGATTTGGTAATTAAAGATAAATATGTTGATCTATTATTGCTTTACATCAACGGTGAGTATGGTGTAAATAAGTATTGCTCCCAAAAGAATAAAAAGGGCAACTCGTTTTTTTTTAAAAAAAATTTTCTATTTCTTTCACTACTGCGAAGTCCCCCACTCTCTTCCCTCACGCCATTCTCCACCATAATTTTCAGGAACTCACTTTCCCTCTCTTTCAAAAAGAGCGGACCCCAGAGAATCCTAGAGAGCAAAACAGAAATCAACAACTCTAGTTTTTTTTTCCCAGAAACAAAAAGAAAGGAAAAGGAAAACTGCAATCACCACTCAGCAAAGAAGGCATTCTTGAAGATTTCACATACCAGGTACACACACTCTGAATCCATATACCTAACCTTCATTTGGTTGCCGAGGAAAAAAAAATGAAGATTCTGAAGTGTTTCGTAAAGAAAAATTATAATACTGCCAAATAGGTCGATTCAGGTCAACTAAGCTGAATTTTCAAATTAATTACGCTATAAGTTGAGTGTTCTTGTTTTGTCTCAATGTAATAATTGAGACTGTAAAGCTGTATTTTATTTTCTTTTCCATATTTTCTCAGCAACCAAACAGTGGGAACCTTGTAAATATAACTTGATTTAACTAAGCATATGAGTGTTCTCTTCGAAATCGTACTTGGATATATAGTAGATACTAAACCTAAATGTTCCACCATCCTTCTTTCCTAGTTGGATTAAGTATAGGTCGTGCCTTTTGCAAGAGATTGCAGGGCCAGTTTCATTATATGGCTTTCTCTGTAATGTGATGCTAGTGATCACTATAGTTAGAAGTTGGAAAACTAATTTGTATATCATGTACCCATCGGTGGACTGTGATCCATAAGAAAGAAGCAATGCTGCCATTGTGGTTGAGAGTTCTGCATCTTCTCAGGTTTCGGGTATCGATCCCTTTCATTTTTCAAATCTCTATTCCTAAAATTTTTACCCCTCAAATTGGAAGTATATATCAGCTTATGTTTTGTGTATATATATAGCAGTTACGCTAGTGCTGGGGTTAGGGTTAGTCATATTGTCAAAACTCAGAATTTTGATCTCATGGAGTCTTTTTCCCTACTCTCTTGCTTCTATGACGGCAGTGACTAAACAGGGTTTAGGTTTATAACTTCAACAAAGATTTGATATTAAGAACTGAATCCCCTAATTCAACCCCTCTCCCAATTTCATCTGAATTCTTCTCTCTGATGTCACTGGTTCCTTTGTTTTGTTCTGTATGTATTGCAATAGCGACCATAAAAAATAAATACGTATTGTTGTGTATCTACTCCTTTTAAATGTTTATTAGAAATTAACTATAAAAAAAGACAGCTCATCCTTTCCAGAGGGGAGATTAGTGTAATTTAGTCTTTAAAATAGTATGCTTTTAATAACCCTGCGGAGTAGCTCAGCTAGTCAGGCCTTGGGTTTGTTCCCCAATGGTCACCAGTTCGAGTCTCCGTAGGCCACTGGAGGCTTACCCAGTCGTTAACTTCAGAGCCTCATGGGATAAGTTGAGGTGCGTATAAGTTGGCCCAGACACCCACGATTATCAAAAAAATAGTATGCTTCCAGCACCAACTGCTCTCTCGTCAATTCACTTACCTGATCCTAGAGTGTGTTTTACGGCGACGACGCTTCAATTTGATGAACTTCATCTTTAAAACATAAAGTTCTCAAATAAAGACTAAAAATCAAAATTACAACTCAACATGCTGGTTTTGATTGAAATTTGCCAACACTAGCAAATGATTATGAGAACATACAAAATTATTATACGTTTGAACAACTCCTATCACGTCTTTTAGGAGTTGAACAACTTTCAAACGTTTTATTTTTTAATTGAAATTTAACCTGATTCCTCTTATATTTGGATAATTATTTTTACAATGAGGTTGTCTTGTGCTAAAAATACTCCACAAATACCTTATTCAATACTTATTTTTCATTTGTGCTGTCATTTGTAATATTCAATATATTTATTTTCTAATTCATATTCTTTATATTGATAGGAATAGCATGAGACAAACAGCAGATCAACTCAATTTTTCAATGTGAAGCCTAACCTAGGTTTAAAAAATTTAATAGTTTGTTAGACTTTGACGACAACCAATATTCAATATAGTTTGTTAGAATAGGAGGATAATTAGAATAATTATCATTCAATTCTTACACGTTTTATATTTGTAATCAAACGTTAGAATGAGAATCATCATTTCACTCCCATTCCATTCTCACATTACTGCATACCAAATGCAACATTAAGAGAATGAAATAAATGATAATTGAAAAAGACAAGAAAAAAAAAAAAAAAAAAAACCCCACTTCATCAACATAGTCAAATTCCATTCAGAAATAAACCAGTATATTCACACTATTATCTAAGAATGAAGAAATCAATCTAAGCATATACGACCATTCACTGAGATGAATGAAGAAATCAGTCTAAGCATATACAACCATTCACTGAGATTTTAAGACAAAAAAACAGATAAAGTACAAGAAGCCCTCATTCTTTTTATTATGTTTGTATAAATTTCTATATTTTCAATATTTGGAGCAAATTGTCTTCTGATAGTCAATTTTGACCAAATTTTTTAATAAAAATTCTAAAATGCCCTTAGATGCAACTATGCAAGGAATTTTTTTAGCACATCCTTCATGTGGACCCTATTAAGATGGTGCTACCGCGTGGACCCTATTAAGATGCTACCTCGTAAGGTTGGCTATGCACAAATTTTTGCCACGCACATCAGCAATTAAGCAGTAGTTGGCTGTAATATTTGACCATTGAATTTGTATATGACTGGCTTTTAGCGCCATTCCGATGGCCTTATCCGATCAATTAGTTTTTGCTCATCCTCTTTGCTTCTGTCCAGATTCCCAAAAAAAAGAAAGAAAAAAAATGAAGCTTCCTCTACTTGCAACCATTATCACCATCTACCTCTTCTTCCAGTACCACCTTAGATTTATAGTCAGCAGTAACTCTGTTTCCCCATATCGCCCCTTGGATGATTTCGCCCTTAACTGCGGCTCTACTGGCAACTCATTTGCTTTTGATGGCCGGGAATGGATTGGAGATATCACCAATTCTAAATTTACTTCATCACAAGTACTCAAAGGCAAATCAACGAGCTCAAAAACCATCCACCAATCACTTTTCGTTGAACTCGTTCCCTACATGACTGCTAGGATCTCTCGTTCTCAATTCACTTACACATTTCAATTAAGACCGGGTCAGAAATTCATTCGCCTGCACTTTCTTCCAGCTTCATACCATGGCTTCGATAGATCAAAAGCACTTTTCACTGTTAAAGCTGGTCCTTACACCCTTCTTGACAACTTCAGCGCTTCCCTTGCTGCTGATGCTCTGGGTGTAAAATATTTTGCTAAAGAATTTTGCGTCAACATTGAACAAAATCAAGTTTTTAGCATAACATTCTCTCCGTCTACAAGTAGTGCAACTGATGATGATGTTTATGCTTTTATCAATGGAATTGAGGTCGTCTCCATGCCCACTGGTCTTTATTACTCTCCCGATGATGATTTGGGTGCTCGTGTCGTTGGCAACAAGTTTCGATACTATATTGATAACAGCACTGCACTAGAGATGGTTTACCGCTTAAATGTTGGAGGGAGATCCATTTTGTCAGTCGAAGAAGATTTGGATATGTACCGTGTTTGGTCCGAGGACAAGAATTACATGATACAATCAGGTGTATTATCAGTTACCAGTACCACAAAGGCTGTGATCAAGTATGCTAACATACCCACCTACACTGCACCAATGAAAGTATACAGAACATCTTGGTCAATGGGTCAAAACAAAGTAGCAGATCAGATGCATAATTTAACATGGAAATTACCTGTGGATTTGGGATTCAGGTACCTGGTTAGGCTCCATTTCTGTGAGCTTGAATCCACGACCACTGAGAGCGGCAGCCCAAGGGAGTTTTCTATCTTCATAAACAATCAGATTGCTGAGACTAATGCAGATGTAGTGAAGTGGAGTGGTGGGTACGGGGTTGCACTATACAGGGACTATGTGGTGAAAATAGAAGGAAACAAATTCGAGGGCAAGCATAATCTCATTGTAGCTTTGCAGCCCCAGCATGACTCAGATGCTGATCCAATCCTAAACGGTATAGAAACATTTAAGTTGGCCAACCCGGACAACATTCTTGCCGGTCCCAACCCCGCGCCAACAGCACATTCTTGCCGGTCCCAACCCCTGCATGGAAAATTGGTTTTAGCTTTCGGAAGCCACAATGTAATTACAACAGGTGTGATACTAATACTCACTCTCTTGAATATCATAGTTTACCAGTTAAATACTTGGGGATCAAACTCTGGAGAAAAGAACTTATCATCATCAACACTGTCAAAGGAGGGAGTGTGCAGACGTTTCTCGTTTGCAGAGATCCAGTTAGCGACCAATAACTTTGGTGATGAATTCATCATAGGGAAAGGCGGATTTGGTAATGTGTACAAAGGCCTTATCAATAATGGAACCAAGACTGTTGCCATAAAGCGGTTGAAATCGGAGTCCAAACAAGGGTTTGTTGAGTTCTGGATGGAAATTGAGACCCTTTCGACAATCCGGCACGATCATCTCGTCTCTTTGATAGGCTACTATGAAGACTCCCAGGAGATGCTCCTAGTCTATGAATATATGGACAATGGGAGTCTTGCTGATCATCTCTACCAAGCTAGAAGAAAGGGTGATGTCAATTCTCCTCTCTCTTGGGAACAACGGCTCATCATCTGCATTGGTGCCGCACGTGGATTGGCCTACCTTCATACCAGTAGGGACGCCCATCATGGAGTCATACACCGCGACGTGAAAAGCTCAAACATACTGTTGGATAAAAATTGGGAAGCTAAGATTTCTGACTTTGGGTTGTCTAAAATGGACAATGCAGGCCAGTCACAAACCCACATTAGCACTGCCGTTAAAGGTACATTTGGGTACTTTGATCCAGAGTATTTCTTCACTTGTAGGCTGACAAAGAAATCCGACGTTTACGCCTTTGGTGTGGTATTGTTTGAAGTGCTTTGTGGGAGGCCGGCGGTTGATGTAAGACTTGAAGAGGAGCAACATAGTCTAGCACAATGGGCCAAACATTGCATCAGAGAGGGAACACTTGATCGAATAGTTGATCCCAGCGTGAGGGAGCAAATATCGCCTTCTTGCTTGAAGGTGCTTGCCGAAATTGCCACCAAATGCTTGCACAATAATCCAAATGAACGGCTTACAATGGCTGGAGTGGTGGCTGGCCTGGAGTATTCATTCTCAGTGGCAAGTGGTGGGGATGAGGTATATCCAACTGGGCAGATCTTGCCCACCCACAATTTGAGAATCTTCACATTTGCAGAATTGAAAGCCGCAACTAGAAATTTCGGAGCTGATACAGTGTTGGGAGAAGGATGTTTCGGGAAAGTTTACAAGGGTCGGCTTGATGAGAGGGCGACATCTAAGAACGGAAGTGGAATGGTCATTGCTGTCAAGATGTTGAGTTCAGATAGCATGCAAGGATTTGAAGAGTGGAAGGTAGTTCAACTGTACTCAGTCTGTCATTTTACTTATTTGATCTTGGGTGCTTTTAATTTGCCTTTCATAGCTCAATACGGAATACTTGTCATGTATTCAATCTCAGAATCATAGACTAGAATTTAATTATTTCTTCTTTTCATGTATGCCTAAATTTTCTAGATTTAGCTCTTCTCTATTGTCCACATTCTTATAATATTATTGTAGTATGAGAAGTGAAACTATTCCTCATATTTCTAGATTTCCTAAGTGGAATTTATAGAAGTTCTTCTAAATGCTGTCATGTATTTGTTTTTTCGTCTATTTCTGCAGTCTGAAGTGAATTTCCTAGGAAGGCTTTCTCATCCTAACCTTATTAAGTTGCTGGGATACTGTCGGGAGGGTGAAGAGCTGCTCCTTGTCTATGAATTCATGCAAAAGGGTAACTTGGACAACCACCTTTTTAGAAGTAAGTCTGTGTGTGTGTGAAATAATGCAAATGTGCTAACATACTAGTCAGTTGAATTCATTTAATTGGTTCACTCTACACCAAATGCTTTGACTAGTGCAGGGGGATCAGATGTTCAGTCACTTCCATGGGGCATACGGCTTAAGATTTTAGTGGGAGCAGCTCGGGGCCTGGAATTCTTACACACGGCAGGAAAACAAGTAATTTATAGGGACTTCAAGACAGCGAATATATTGCTTGATGCGGTAAGTTATGTGCAATCAACAGATTAGTATCACATGATATATAATAAAGGATTATGAACCCCTAAACTGATTCTAACATTTTCTTCATTTGTTGTTTTTTGCAGTCCTATAATGCCAAGTTAGCAGACTTTGGTCTGGCAAAATTAGGCCCCTCTGAGAGTAATTCCCATGTGACAACACGAATTATGGGCACATATGGCTATGCTGCTCCTGAGTATATTGCGACAGGTAACCCCCCTGAACCTTTTTGAGCTTCATCTTTTCTAAGGCTAAAGTTGATCAGAATCGAAGTTCTGCCCTTTGCATGATCTAAAGCCACTTGAGCTTGGCCATAACTAAATAAATGGTGTCATATTACTGACATCATGCTTATTTAACAGGACATCTGTATGTAAAGAGCGACGTGTATGGTTTTGGCGTTGTATTGGTTGAAATGCTAACAGGCTTGCGGGCAATTGACCCAAAACGTCCAACTGGGCAACATAGTCTGGTTGACTGGATTAAACCACGATTATGTAACAGAAGGAAGTTGAAGGGCGTAATGGACTCCCGGTTTGAAGGGAAATATCCTTCCAGAGCTGCTACACAAATGGCTCAACTTGCTCTAAGATGTCTTCATCATGACCCCAAAGAAAGGCCATCAATGAAAGAAGTTGTGGAGAATCTAGAACTGATTGAAGCAATTAATGAAAAACCAAAGATCTAGCCTAGCAACCTTTGTACCATCGTTCCCAAGAGTAAGATAAAAATCAAGCCTAGCAACACTGATCACCACTAGAGTGATGACTTTGATACTACACTTCCTATGAAGAGCTCTTTGCATAGATGTTTTTGTTGGTTGTTTCTTACATTTAACTCCCCTATTTCCTCTATTATTCAATGCCTCCATATATGTAATGAATTTTGTTGTTGTAGTGGTGATTTGTGTTAAGCATTTGAAACTTTTAGCACTAAAACTTTAGTTATTTCTGTAGTTTGTTGAGACATTGTTGTTTATGCTTGGGGGAATTTATTTGTAGTGACAATTAGGAGCCCTAATGGTCGTGGTGATGATGAAGGTCCTTATATTGCTTAAATCAAGAGTTGGACTTGACTTCAAGGTAGGATTATTCCTGAGACTCTTCCATCTGAGCAACCTTGACAGATAGTCATTTTTCTTTGTTTTAATTTTCTTTCCATGATTCTTTTTTTGTGTTAACTTATATTGACCAAATTAAACCAAAATATAGCAAGTGGTTGAAAATAGGCACACCAATGAGCTCTCTCAAAAGACCTCTCATATTTTGAGATTGTCAAAAATTGCTAGAATGAAAATAAAGCACTCCAATGGGCTCTCAAAACATGGAATGATAATTGTGTCAAAAAATAGCATTTTGAATGAAATGCATCATTGGAGCATAATTGCAAAAATGTAGAATTTTGACACTGTAGCACCTCTCAAAATATCGATTTAGCATGGAAATATAGCATTTTACATTGGAGATGCTCTAACTGAAAAACTTGAATGGGCTCAAGAAAAATTGGGAAGAGCAGAGGAGATGAGGAAAGAACTGAGGAAAACAATTTCTGACCTATGCTCCGAGTTAGCCAAGAGCTAGTTGAAGACCTCTCCTACTGTCACAAAAATCTCTTTGCCGAAGCTGAAGCAAAACTGCAGTACACGGTTGACTCACCCTCTATTTATCCCCCATTGATACAAAACCCATGCTTGATGTAGGTGCATCTTCATCTTTTCCGGCCACGGTCGCCGTCCCTGAAGTTTATCCAGCAGCTCAGGTAAACCCAATTTCCAATTCAAATTTTGGTTCTCAGAAAGATACAGGCTGTAAATTGATGAAGTTGAAATCTAGAGGACTTCACAATGAGAGCTTTAAAGAGCAGCACAAACCAATACACTAAAATGAAAAACATTGCTACAGGATTCATAATTCTTTACTTTACTTGCTGAAAATTCATAATAAATAATGAGAATGTTCAACGATGAAACACTAAACATTTTTTATACAGACCAGAAGAGAATCACATTATATTTGACAAATGCTAGAAAGTAAGTTGAGGTTGAAAACTTCTGTCGATACATCGAAACAATCATACAACCGCAAGTTTCCTCTAAGCTCTCAGCTGGAAAATACAAAACAAAACAAGCACGATAAACAGTTACCGACGCAAATAACATAGTCAATTAAGTCCAGATTTACTAAAACCATAACTGCAAACAGTTTGGTAACAGCATGTATGTCTGCGTGAGTTATGAGTGATCTTACACTGTTAGGTTATCTGATATATTTGCTCTGGTAAGAACAATATGAATCATAATCTGTATTGAGAAGGTGAGAAGTATAAGACAATCCTAAAATCTGAACATAATGCACCTATAACATAAATGTGAGTACATGATGGTGCTTAAGGGAGAGATCCATACCAACAGCACTGTAGATCAAGGATTAAGTTAAAGATGGAAAATTGAGAAAGTGAAATATTTTATAGTTCAACCCAAAAAACAAAAGAACAAATGTCAAAAGCTTGCCCTGATGTTCAAAGTAGTATACCTGGTTTTTTTTGTATATAAAAATAATTATTATAATAATTATTATAATAATAAAATTATAAAAAATAATTCTTATAACTGCCTTGAATACTAAACAATTAAACATATTAAAGAGTACTGTTGAAAATAAGAGATTTAGAAGCTTCTATGCAAACAGACTTGTAAAGATGTTTTAATAGAATCAAATATAAAATTCTTTGCAGATATTCGTATAAGACATCTAAAGCCTCAGTGGGAGTTTAATTCTAGGGTTTATCTTCTTTCAATTCCATTTTTGCTGGGCTTAATTCAGAGGGAGACAGAAAACAATTAATATCACATATTTACAGGAAAACAAATCACAAAAAGATGAACAGAGTTTTATTGAAGTGGATAAAATGCATTGATGCAATGGCTTAAATTAATGAACAAAGCAGAGAGTTGGTATTTTTCAAAGATTAGGTAGTTTAGTCACTGGCTTGAAAATAAACTTTTATAACTTAGGAAATGGTTAGTCTTTAAATGAGGTTGTTTGGAAATTGTATGCTGATGACTTTTCGACTACTTGTAAGCTCTAAGGCAAAAAATATGATTTAACAATAAGATAACCTAACAAACGTAACATAAATGGATAAAATAACATGAAAAAATTAAGAAAAAGTAATTAAATTAAAGCATTAAAAAAAAAAGAAATATCACCTAAACCAGATGTGTAACCAGATGGAAGATGTTATTTTAGATAGCCCAATTTTATTTAGCTGGTTGTACATTTGCAATAAGATAGTGATGCTTTATGTTAATTTTTAGTTTTCAAATCTTTCTTTAATTACTTTACAGAATTTCTACTCCTATTCCCACTAAATTAAATTTCAAAGAGTTATTGCAAACCAACTGATATAAAAGCACTCAACAAAACAATACTAAAATAAAAGCAAGGGAATTAATTATGGAAAAAAAAAAAAAAAAAAAAAAAAGGGAATGAGGGGAGACGGAATTTGTGCAGCATGCATACAGCATAACAAAATCAAATGAAAAGACATTAATATTTAAATAAAATTCATGTCTTTTCTCTTTTGCCTTATGATAAGAATATGCAGTAAAGAAGACAAACTAAAAACCAAATAGAAGATCTTTTAGCATTCTTTTGAAATTGGAGACACAAGGTTTTTCGTCTTCTTTAAGCTAATGTACATGCATAGTGAAGTGTTCAACTAGAGACAAGGGGTATTCCACATCTTGTAACGTTGAGGATATTTTTCACATCACACACTATTTACTATGCATGTACTTTCACGCTCTAAAGGATTGCAATTAGAGTACATTAGAATATTAGGTTTTGGGTTGAAAGAATGGGAAAATAAGCATTGTAGCCAATCAAGCATAAAAATTCTCATTATATTCTATCCTTTATAAATGCGAGTTCATTGTCAACAATGTTGACCCTATGTTGAGCATAATCATCCATTAAAGTCAGTCCTAGATTGAGCTTAATCATCCATTTAGAAATATTTCTCCTACCATTTAAGAATTTGGGTCAACTATATGTCGCACAATTTGAATGTAGACATTATTTTCCTCCACCTATCTCTTATTTACAAGATGTGCCATATACAATTTATTAGGTATGATCATCTAAAGGATCAAGTAGAGCAAAAAGGCTAAGGTGTGAAAAAAGGGGAAGGAAGAAGTTGAGAGAAAATGGAAGGCGAGCAAAGCGAGGCAGGCAACAAAAACTAAGAGGGCAACAATGTAAAACCAAGCAGCAGAAACTATGATTGCAACTGGGCTATTTAAAGGACAAAGACAAACTGGGCTATAGAAAATAACAACCAGCAGGAAACAATATTCCAACAGAAACAAAAATGCAAGACAACACTATTCTTCCACCAGCAGGCATATTTTCTAAATGCAAACAAACATAAAGCATCAATTTCAAAACATCAGAATTTCAGCCAAGATCATAATCATGGATATTCCATACAAGCTTGAGCCAAATATTAGAACGGGCAAGTTTAAACTCCATCCAGTCTAAGTAGTCTAAATCTAACAGCATTGAAAATTGCAGCTTGCAAATAAAACATGCATAAACACGTAAAAATTATATTTATATCATTCATAAACGTATAAATTCACATATATAATATTAAACAATTACCTCTGAAAACAAGTACGACTAAGTTCTTCTAACAAACTTGGCAGGCCATGCAAATATTCCTCCCTTAGCTTCTTAAAGCTAAATGTAGTGTCTAACATACTTGCGGTCTTGCAAAAGCTAGCAAAAACAAAAAAAATTTAACATATTCGAATTATTGTAATTCTGTTTTTTGTTATACAGTCCTATATTTTCACTTCCAGAATTATACCATATGTGTTTAGGGAGGAAAAAAAAAAAGGCAGAAAAATAATAAGAGATGAATATGAACAAACAAGCAAAAAAAAGTACGTAGTAAATGACTAATAGAAGAACTTAATTCAAAAACGTGAGGAACAAAAACCAAATGCAAATTTGGGACCCATTTTCATCCATTACGCAGAGAATCTGTTCACCTTTAAAATTTGCCAAAAAAAATTTAATGCTGCAAAAGGGTATAAGGACTCCATTCAAACAAACAATGGCCCATTAACTAAGGAATACCACTATATAGCAATGTTTTATATTATACCAGCACTGTACGATAAAAAAAAATAAAAAATAAAAAAAAAAAAAAAACTACTAGTTGAATCTGCACTCAGAATTCAATTAGAGCTAAACTATATAGAGTGTTTATGCAGTCTAAAGTCTATTTGACTATGGCCTTTCCTACAATAGGTAACAGAGTTGCAAGTAAAGACTACTAGTTGTGATATTTTAAGTGATGTTATATATTAAAGAGGAAAAATAAAATAAAAAGGGAGAGAAGAATTTTATTACTAGATCAAGCCCAAAAAGGGAGACAACCTAAACTTCCACTCTCTATCAAAAATAGGACCTAAATCATGCTTTCAGGGGTCTGCTTATATGCTTTGTGCTAGTTTATCTCACAAAAAAAATTTCAAAGATTAGGTTAATGATTGCAATTTTGAATTTCTGTGAACTGTAATACTGAGATGAAAAACCCCTTGTCCATGAGAAAGAGGGAAGACCATGAGAAATAGAAAAGATGAGGCTCTTACCGGTGGTGACGACGATCGTAGGTCGGCGGGGTGAGAGAAATGAGCGTGAATTGCAGACATCGTAGACGTTTGGTTGGAATTAGGGCTTGAGTGGTTTTTTTATTTTTTTATTTTTTTATTTTTTTGGGGTAAAATACCCTCATATTATTATCTTAAATTACTAAAAAACCCATAAATTTTTTATAAAACTGACGTCATATATATAAATATATAGATTTTTTTTTTCAATTCATGTACTTTCCCAGAACTCGCTGGAGAACGAAGAGGTCGAAACTAAATCCATTAACGGCGGTCACGGATTTGCTCGCGAAATCAAAGAACATGCTGTTAGTATTGCTGAATTGAAGGCAAAAATAGCTGGACGGACTACTGACTATAGTTTGGATCTCGGGGCGGGATCCTGTCAACACAGCTTCAGGCTGGTGGAATTTGCGGGCTACTTCGTTTCATAGTGCCCTTTCCTGAAATGCAGAAAGGAAGGTTTTTGTTCCTCTACCCAAAGTCTCAGTCGAGAGCGA